TTGAAAAGTAAAAGAAAAATTCCTTCATTGGTATACCTCCACTCGCACTTCCCCACCCCACCCCGAGCATACCACACTCTGTAATCTTCATTCCGGACTCTTATGATAATGATAATGCCCTAAAATATATTGCTTTTAAACTGTTTTTCTCCCTCTTTGATTTCAATGCAGTATACATAATTCATCCTGCTTTTCTTATTTTTACCCTAACCCTGATGTCAGTCCCATTCTACAGCAGTGGCACTATGCAGTGTTTGTCCTTTCGTGGCTGAGATATTTCATTCAGCATAATGTCCTCGAGGGTAATGACATGTCAGATAAGGGACTTATATCTATAATTTATAAAATATTTGAGCACCACAACAAGATAAATAATCCAATTGAAAAATGGGCACAGGATATGAATAGACACTTCACCAAAGAAGACATTTAGATGGCCAACAAGCAGAAGAAGAAATGTTCAAAATCCCTAGCTCTCAGAGAGACTCAAATCAAGACATCTATGAGATAACATCTCACCCCAGTAAGACTAGCAAAATTTAACAGAATAGCAAACAACAAATGCTGGCGAGGTTGTGGAGAGACTGAAACTCTTATTCACTGTTGGTGGAAGTGTAAAATGGTGCAACCACTGCATTAAGCAGTGTGGCAATTTCTCAAAAAGTTGCAAATAAAGATACAATTTGATCCAGCAGTTCCACTACTGGGAATATACCCTAAAGAGACCATAACTGACATCCAAGCAGATATATACATACCCATGTTTATTGCGGCTTTGTTTACAATAGCAAGGAGTTGGAATCTTTGTATTATTGATGATGAGCTTCAATCCATATTGATTGCTGCATTCCTTGACCTTCTGCAGCAAACACATCAAGTCCTTCTCAGTTTCAGCAAGCAGGTTTGTGTCATCTGTGTAACACAGATTGTTGGTGAATCTTCCTCTAATCCTGATGCCACATTCCACCTCACAGAGCCCAGCCTCCTGAAAAATTTGTTCTGCATATTGATTGAAAAGGTATGGAGATAGGACACATCCTGTTTTGAACCATGCAGTGTTTCCTTGCTCTGTTTTGATGTCTACCTACTGGTCCAAGTATAAGTTTCTCATAAGCACTATCAAATGTTCTGGGATTCCCATTCTTCTCAGAGTTAGCCACAATTTGTTGTAATCCACATTGTCAAATGCCTTTGCATAGTCAATGAAGCACAGATAGACATTTCTCTGGCCTGCACTTCTGGCAGTTCTTTGTTGATGTGCTGTTTCAGTCATTTTCAGATAATTTTCAGCAGAACCTTGTTTGCATAGTATATTAATGACATTGTTCAATTTCCGCACACGGTTAGGTCACCTTTCCTTAGAATGGGAATATATATATATCTTCTAGTCAGTTAGTCAGATGATTTTCCTCCAAAACTCTTGGAACAACTTAGTGAGCACATCCAGGACTGTGTCTCTTTGTTGAAATATATCATTGTTATGCCATCAATTCCCAGTGCCTTATTTTTTTTTTTCAAACTCCTTCAAAGCAACTTGAGCCTCTTCCTGTATTAGCACAGGCTCTTGCTTATACTTTTTTTCCATGAAACTCTTCTGTGTCTGCCAATTCCTTTTGGTACAATGACACTATACTCTTTCCATATTCTCTCTTTTTTCCCCTACAACAACAAAAACCTCAAACATGTTCTAGTGTATCAATCTCAACCTTATCTACTTAACTCAATGTGTCAATGGTGCCTCCAAAATCAAGGTGGAGTGTTAAAAGAACGAGGAGCCAGGGAAACACAGCTGTCAGGTCACCACAGAATTCACATGCCTAGAGGCTAATCCATAGCTTTCCATTAGTCTCTTGACAACAGACATGAAATATCCATTGGCCATGACAATCTTAATTTCACTCATTTTGCCTCAGACAAATATAAACTTGGTTTTCAAACCTTCCACCAATCCTACAATTCGAGAATGTCAAGCAGCTTGAGAACTGGGACAACAAAGACACATTCACAACATGGGGATTCAGGCTTCTCATCCTTTACAACCTGAATAAAAAAAGATTAAAAAAACCCTGTGCCTTTTCCTGGAAATGTGCTAAAGACAATAGTTCATCAGGAAGAATAGGGATTTCTGAAGATTGTTGATGAGCTTGGTCGAGCTGGAATGACTGTTGAGCAGATAGCACCTGTAGATCCTGCAGCTCTGTCTGGGGATGCACGGCCTCCACATGGTTCTGAGCCAGCATGTGCTCAGGCTCTGCGTTCTCCCATTGCCTGAAGTGAGGTTCCTCCTGTTGAACATGATTCTGCGATTGCTGCTTTTGGGTTTCAAGCTGAAGCTGAGAGAGGTCTTGGTGGTAAAATGCTGCTGCAGTAGTCTTTTAATTATCATCCTGAGCACCTCATGGAGCACGAGGCCAAAAAGAGGTCTAAGTGTCTAAGAGTCCCCTTGCTAGAGTGGGATCTGTTGACAAGTGATTCAAATGTGTGAAGTGGAGTTTAGAGATCTTGTCTCTCTGCACATTTGATGTGGGGAGGATCATGAGGGGACCTGGTGGCTGGATGGCATGGCTCTGAATAGGCTTACAAGGAGCTGAGGTTGTGTGACAGGAAAAAGATAGGATGCCATCGCTCCTGGTGAATGAATGAAATGGTGGAATAGAATGAGACACGCCTGGGACCAGGCGAAGCTTGCGTTGTTGTGGTTGAACATCCAGAGGAGACAGCTCTGCTGGGCTTCTTGTAAAGGAATATGCTGGTGTCTCCATGTTGTGCTCTGGTTATCGAGCTCTTCTGTTCTGGAACCAGATCTGGCCAGATCTTCCCTGACTGAAATCCCAGGGAATCGACTTCTTCCAAAAGCTTGCAGAAGAATGTTCGCCTGAGATTTTGTGATTATTGCTCTCCTTCTTCTGGCTTCTCTATGAACGTTTTCTGGAGTTCCACGAGGCAGCTTTTCCCGACCCCGGATGTTCTCTCCTAATGGGTCTTCAGAAGACGGCCTTCTTTTCTTTAACAAGACCCTTCTGTGGTTTTTGAACCAAACCTGCACTCTCTCCTCTGGAATACCAATTACTTTGGCCAGCCTTTCTCTGGTGGCTATGCCAGGGTAGGGGTTCTCTTGTAATGCTACCTGCAAGGTGTCTCTCTGACTAGGCGTGAAGACAACCTTCTTTCTTTGTTGTCCTCTTTGTTTGGAACCACTTGAGAGGCTTGTCAATTCCATATTTCCAGAAGTTTTCTGACTTCTCCACAGGATTCCTCAGCAAAGGGTGATGAATTGCAAATGGTGAGGAGAGTTGGAAGGGTGCTGGCTCAGGTTTCAGGGAAGGATCCAATGAATTCCGGAATCAGAAGGATTCTTTCCATATTCTCTTAAGGCTTCTTGGATCATCTGCTCAAAGAAACCTTAAGTATTGGAATTCAAGACTTGAGTTTGTTCTTCAGTTCCTTCAATTTAAGACATAATTATCAGGATCAATTATTGCCCACATTTGTTTGTAATGTAGATAAAATAACATCAACAGAGAACTACCAGAAGTGCAGGCTGGGTTTAGACCAGTCATGGTACTAGGAATATTATAGCTAATGTTAGATGAATCTTGGCTGAAAGCAAGGAGTACCAGAAGAATGTTTATCTTTCTTTCACTGATTATGCAAAGGCATTTGACTGGGTGGATCATCAGAAACTGTGGCTAACTCTGAGAAGAATGTGAATCCCAGAACACTTGATCGTGCTAATACAAAAGTTATACTTGGACCAGGAGGCAGTCGTCAGAACAAAGCAAGGAAACACTGCATGGTTCAAAACTGGGAAGGGTGTACACCAGGGCTGTATCCTGTCTCCATACCTTTTCAGTCTTTATGCAGAATAGAGTACCTGGGAGGCTGGACTCTTTGAGGAGAAATGTGGCATCAGGAATAGAAGAAGAATCATCAACAATCTGCATTATGCAGATGACACAACCCTGTTTGCTGAAACTGAGGAGGACCTGAAAGCACTTGCTATGGAAGGTCAAAGACTGCGGTCTTCAGTATGGATTGAGGCTTAACATCAAGAAAATAAAGATTCTCACCACTGAGCTTACTGGCATTGTCTTAATGGATGGTGAAGAGATTAAGATTTTTGACAGTTTTGATTTGCTTGGTTCCATAGTCAGCACTCTTGGCAACAGCAGCCAGGAAATTAAAAGACATATTGCAATGGAAAAGTCTGTGGTTAGAGACCTCTAAAAGTGTTCAAATGCAACGATGTAAGTCTGGAGACTAAGTTGCGCCTGATGCATGCCATGGTCTTTGCAATCACTTGCTGTACATCAGAGAGCTGGACAATGACTAGGGATGATAGAAGGAAAATTGATATCTTTGAGCTGTGGTGTTGGAGAAGTGTATTGAATATACCATGGACTGCTAAGAAAATGAAGAGGTTTATCCTGGAGAGGGAGAAGCTGGGCTGCTCCTTGGAGGCAGGGATTCTGAAGCTTCATCTGACTTGTTGCAAGGAAGGACCAGTTCTTGGAGAGGGATGTCATGCTTGGGAGAGTGCAGGGACAGCACAGGAGAGGAAGACCCTCGATGAGATGGATTGATTCAGTGACTTGGGTAATGGGGGTTGATGTGTCAGAGATGGTGAGATTGGCACAGGATAGGGCAGAATTTAGGGCTTTTGTACATAGGGTCATTATGAGTTGCCAGTACCTCAACGGAACATAACAACAACAACAACAATATAGTAATGTGATTAAAAACACCTAAAAACTTATAAGAGGGGGAGAAAAAGTAAATAAAGTTCAAATATTTATATGTACCTAACTAAAATGCAAAGTACAAATATAAGGGTATGCATGGTTTTTATTATTAATTTACTTATATGAAATTTTACACCATAAAATTTTCCCTTTATAAAATAACTAAAATGAGTAATGGAGTATATTATGATTTTTCCTTTTGTAATAATTCAAAGAGAATATTGCTTATGATGCAAAAAAATATTTAACAAATTTAAACCTGAACAAATACTACATTAAATACAGACTAATAATTATTTTCTTAATAGAAGATAATTTCTATGAGTCATTCCATTATTAATTTCAAAACTCTAAGACCAGTCTGAAAGCAGAAGACATTATAGTTTAGAGAGATGCAGTGAGGAACTGTAATTTATTTCTCTTATAAAGGAATTTTTAATAGTTAAGTAGTCAAAATTCATATAATGAAGAACTTGGCCTGAACTTGGCAATTCTTCAAGGCTGGGAGTGAGAATATATTATGTGTCTTTATTACTATGTCATAAAATCACTGTAACTGCAAATGTTCAATGGTTACCATGGCTGTGCCATATAGGTATAACAGCTGGTTGCCTGAGGCAGAAAAATATTTTAGGAGCAAATTGTTTTCTGACTGTTTATCATGTAAGTGATTACTTACTAGAAAAAGACTTTTTTTCCCCTCCAAATTGCCTAGGGCAGTAAAAACCCTCAAGTTGACATTAGTCTTGTTCCTTTAGTATGAAACACAAGACATACAATGCATAAAAGAACATCTCAATTGTACATTAGCTGTCACTCAGTTAACTATAGATCAACCTGGATTGGTAAGTGGCTCCTACCTGTTTGTTTTTGTATTTTGTTTGTTTGTTTTTCTCGTTGTTTTTACTTTTGCTGGGTATTTCATGGGAATTTAATTTTACTCTTCCAGTTGCCAAGAATCAGTTTCTATGTATGGTGAATCGATGTTGGGTGGCTAGAACTGCATCAAAAGGGGTTCATAGCTTCAACTTCTTTATTTAAAGTACCTCTTTAAAGAGGTTCAAAATGCTATGACTCTGTGGTTAGTTACTACTAACTACTTAAGCATTTGCACTCCTAAGGAATCTAGTGTCACTGTAGAAAGCTCTTTATTTAAAAATAAAACATTCATAATGTGTGATTTCACATTCTTCAGTAAGTTTATTCACAATATGTCATCTCTGAAATACATCCCTTTGTAAATTGCAAAAGCCAGTAAAGCAGCCTCAGTTTTAAAACATACCATACTACATATAGATTCAGAATAAGTTTTGATATAATGATATGTGCATCTTCTGTGCACAAACTAACTTTTGTAGTTTTAATTACCATGATCAATGTGCAGGTTTCTTTTTACTCCAGTAATATAAGGAGTGCAGAGTGAAAAACCATTTTCATCAAGGTCACATTCAAAAGGTAGAGAATATCTGCAGATAAATATATTTGGGTTATTACTTAAAGTTAAAAGACCATTTTTCTAAAAAATAAAAATAATTGGTCAGAAAATGTCCTTTGAAGAGACATTAGTGAAAATGCATTAGTCCAAAGAGTAGAATTCAATAAAAATAGATGGTTTAGACCATTGATTTCTCTTGACTTAGAATTAATTTAAAATATAGATGATATTATCATGTAGGTACACGGTATTAAAAATCAGTTAAGTAGCCCTAAAATGCTGAACAATTAGATTTTTTTAAAAGGTGACTTTTTTTAACTTAAAAATCTATGGCAATTAGATACATAAACATTGACATCGAATTATAAACAACTCACAACTGATGCTCTAGTGAGTATTCAAGGCTTTAAATTAGATTGCCTATTTTTCTTCCACAGAGTCATTGATAAATATGAATTGCCAAACAATGCCACTCTTGGGTTAAGAGCACAACTCTATACATTGTGTCATCAGAATTTCTTAAAGTAACACCACACATAAAATGTTTCTGTGTAACTATTAGCATAACTAGGGAGATCAGAGTCCAAGTTATTTCGCGCACATAAATAAGGAGAATACAGACTGATAAGAGAACAACAGCAGTACGTACAAATTAAAAATAGGAATCTAAGGATAACATCCATTAAAATTTCTATGACAGATGCTGTCCTAGCTATAGATTCAACTTCAGATGTGTAGCATAATGGTGTTGATAGTCAATCAATTCTGTCATTCATCATGAAAGTGATTGCTCATGGATTTTATTTTCCTGAACTCAGAGACATCATCTTGAACAAACTTTTCTCCAGGCTGAAATTCTTGACATGCAATCAAAATTGAGGGAGCACAGCAGACTACTGAGCGAACTGTCACTAAGAACAATTGCTACAGAATGATCCACAGGATTAGGTCAAGGATTTGTGAAATGTTTACACAGGATGAAATGTCAGAGTCGGAAAAGTATTTATGTGTAGCTGAGAAACTTTGCTCCTAGCCAAAGTGTTACGTTTGCAGTGAGACAGAAAACAAAGTTCTGAATTAATCTATATGTAATTTTAAATAAATTTCAATAAATGCAAACTTGTTCACGCTTATGATTAATTAATAATTACTTATTTTAAAATTAGCCAAGAAGCTGCACTGCAATCCCAGTGGTATGTGGTTTGAATCTCACAGACGCTCTGCTGGAGAATGAGGAACAATCTCCTCCTGTACCAGATGTGATTTGATGGTACACACAAAACAATACTAAAATTTTAAAAATAAATAAAATTGTTAGAGAGAACGTAAATATAATGTGGTTTATACTCTTGCGTTGCCTACTCATTTAACTAAAGAAAAATTGACATAAACACAAAAAATAGATTAACTCAGCAAACATACATAATACACTGATTGCAAATTGACTGCTTCATGTTATGAATTAACCTGTATTCACCAAAACACTTTTTGAAGCCCTATATATTTTAATTGCCGATGTTATCTTAGAAAATAATATAAAATCCACAAGAAACATAGTTTGATCTCAGTCTATCCCACCAGAACTTAAAGACCATCAGGTTTGTGGCCTTGAACACAAAAGAGTGAAGACCAGATTAGCCACAGGAGAATATTAAGAAATACATTCATTACCAGAGAAAATTAGAGCTTAGGCACAAACAGAGATTGGTACACCAATGTTCATGGCAATGTTATTCACCATCACAAGAATATGGAAACAGCTCAGCTGTCCAACTGCAATCAGATGGATTGAGAAACTATGGTACATTCACAATGATGGAATACTATGCAACATACAGAAGCAATGCTTTTCATAATCACTATCTAACTTGAGAGGAACTGGAGAGCATTATGCTAAGTGAACTAATTCAGTCTCATAAGGACAAATACTGTATAAGACCATTATTGAAGAAACAGAAAAATAACCAGTAAAACATATATAAGGATCCAAGGGATGGAGGGTGGGAACAAAGGGGTAAGGAGAGGGGGTTGGTATCCATAAGA